GATGATGATGATGATTGTGGTGCTGGTGATGGTGGTGATGATGATGACGATGACGATGACGGCGATGTTGACGACGACGACGACGACGACGACGAGAAAAACGAGCAGCAGGAGGAGGACGACAACGACGATGATGCTGACGATGATGACGGCGACGACGGTGATGATGGTGATGATGACGATGAAGAGGGACCGCGATGAGGATGGCGATGGCGACGACGGTGGTGATGATGGTGACGACTCTGTGGATGTTGATGCGCATACTGACGACGGTGATGCATGATGCAGAAAACTTGCAGTACTGGGACTCAGTCAACTGTAACAGCAGCAGCAGCAGCAGCAGCAGCAGCAGCAGCAAAGTTCGGCAGTCTAATGCCATGACCGCTGCCGCTCCTGAATATTAGAACAGATAAGTGTTGAAGGTTCTTGTCAGAAGAAGCAGAATTCAGTAGTGCGGGCAACACTTGCGGAAACAAGAATGATGAACAACATTATCCCTTAAGCCGAGACCCTACACCAAATACCCGAGACCATAACCCCTAGAGCATGAATAAACCCTAAACCCTGAACCCTTCAAGGCAATATAGGGGCCTTAATAATCAGAATAGGGCTTTGGGGTCCTTTATAGTATAATTATAATCAGGATCCCCAAGGATCCCCCCCAAAAAAAACAAAATATAGGTGATTCTTGAGGCCCCTATGTTACCGAAAACCCTCGATGCCAAGGCACCCAACGATCAGCGAGTCTGAGTCCCTCGACTCACAAGATGCCGCAATCTGACGCCGGATGATGTTATCAACGAAATGCGGAATGACCTTCGGGTCTAGGGTTTAGGTCTTAAGGTTTACGGTTTAGGGTTTAGGGCATAAGGGCTTACAGCTAAGGGATTCGAAGTTTGGGTTTAGACCTCAGTTTGCTGAAGGTGTTGAGTTGCTCTTGACTTTCTGAGTTTCGCGCTGCGAAATCTTTACAAGGTTTTGGATAAGATTATAGGGCTCGTTTAATGGCAGAGCATCATCTTCCAGTTTGGTCGGGTGTTGTTCGATTTTGCAACGGACAAATTGGAATTGGGTTTGGGGATACACTCCGCGGACGCGAATAAGGAACTGCCTACAGCTGCCCTGTAGCCTAGGAAAGGAATCTAAGGTTGCTGAATGGTATGTAGCTTGAGGCGTATACATGAGCCGGAGCAACATACCCTTAAACCCTGAACGCTAAATCCCTTAACTCGGACCCTAAACCGGTAATCCCAAACAGCGGCACCCGACGTCCAAAACAAGAAACCCACCTTCGAGGCCGACGACCCTAAAGAGGTTGAGGGTTTCCTACAAAAAAACCTACCTTAAAGTACCAAAACCTGCTTTTTTGGTAGATCCGAAATGGGGACCCTGCAAAAAGCTAGGATTTGGTACGGTTAAGCTAGTCATATTATTTCCAGGGTTCCCGAACATCTCTGTAGTAAGGCATCCAACCCTAAACAAACCCAAAACGCCCTAAATGATAAGTTCCTACGCCGAAAAGGTGCGTACGCCAAAAATCCTTTACCCCGGAGAAATGTGTAGAGATGACATGGCATTTCGAGCAGTTTTGGTTTTGGAATGGCCAAGGTCCTTCTCCTAAAAATGCCGACCTTTTGACTGTGGTAGGCTAGTAGGGTTTACGGCTTAAGGTTTTGCGACTATACAGGCTGCAAGAAGGTCAAGCTTGTGTAGCTATATAGCGACTAGGTAGACGGAGAGTTTAGGATCTGCAGTTTGGATCTACATTCGGAAGGCACACCTTAAACCCTAAACCCTACCCCAAACCAAGACCTAAACCTGACATCCTAAACTCCCAACCCTCAAGCCGTAAACCCTGAAAGGGGTCCAAAAGGCAAGATAAAACACCAAAAGCACCAGGGAAGCACGCAAGGAAGCACCAAACGATGCTCTTGTGGGTTCAAGATCAAGGAACTGTCCGCATCTACAACCGGCCAACCCTCAAACACAAAAATGGATAAACAAACAAACGAGTAATAGCCACAACTACAATTAATAGTTTGGTTTGGGGTTCAACGTGTTGCAGGCTTTTGGGGTTCAGGGTGCCTGGCTCAGGGTTTAGGGCCTTTCTCTGTTTGGGGTTTACCCATAGGCCATAGGCCCCATAGTAGTTCCTTTTGGGGATTCCCTAATACGATCCTAAATATAAGCCACAAAAAGGAACTACTATGGGGCCTATACCTTAACCCTAAACCCTAAACCCCTGAACCCTATGGGTAGGGTTTACGTGTTATCATTGCAGAGCTTTGGGCTTCGGGTTTGTCTCCGGCTTAGGGCTTAGGGTTTAGGGGTTCAGGGGTTTAGGGGTGTAGGGGTTTAGGGGTTTAGGGGTCTAGGGGTTTAGGGTTTAGGGGTTCAGGGGTTTTAGGCTTTAGGTTTAGGGTTCTGGCGAGTGGCATTGGAGATGCCGAGCTGGAATGTTTGCTGGATGAAGAACCACGCGTTCCTAGGCGGTTTCTGCAGGTAAGAGCTGAGGGCCCTGGACCCCCGAACCCGGCTGGGGGGGAAAAAAAAGGGTTTAGGGTTTAGGGTTTAGGGTTTAGGGTTTAGGGTTTAGGGTTTAGGGTTTAGGGTTTAGGGATTAGGGATTAGGGATTAGGGTTTAGGGTTGGTGGGTATCTAATGCAACCTAACCCACGACTAAGCCCCTCAACTCCACTCGCTCTGACCTCCTTGCCTCTCGGCCTCTACACCCGTGATGACAAGTATAGGGGCCTTCTGGTTTGAACAAAACTGGGTTTAGGGTTTAGGGTTTAGGGTTTCGGGGCCTTATGATTTGAACAAAACTGGGTTTCCGCTTATCTAATGGCGTCTTGTAAGAATCTCTCGGACTTCATGAAATGCCACATAGGGGCCTTAATACTCACAAGCGGATTTGGGGATGTCCTTTCCTCAACCGGCTACATTCAGTAACCCTAAACCATAAACCCTAAACCCTAAACCCAAAACCCTAAACCCTAAACAGTAATTTCACGCCTGCATCCCTCAATCCGATGGCGTTCCTCAACTGTGCCATGACGAGCCACAAGAAAGTGTTGTAGGGTTTAGGGTTTAGGGTTTAGGGTTTAGGGTCCATGTCGACGATGGAAAACCCAAATAACTTGCATGTCCTGTACCACCAAGCCGGACTGTAAAAGCACCGTACGAAAGGGTGTTCGCCAGCTTAGGGTTCAGGGTTTAGGTTTTACGGTTTAGGGTTTAGGGTTTGGGGTAAAAGCAACTCCTTGGTGTTGAGATGGATGTTTTTAAACATCTCCTACGTAAGAAGCCACATGAAAGCCCCGAAGCACGGGGTCGGCTAAAACAGTCTCACGTTCGAGCATGAATGCTCTGCGGGCATGCATGGGGTCGGAGTGGATGTCATCACGGTTTGGGCATGGACCTTTCTGGGAGGCAATTGTGTGAGTGCGCGGTCCTGCTAACGCTCGGGCGGAGGCGAAAACCCTAACCCCTAAACTCTAACCCCAAAACCCTAAACCTTAACCAATAAACCCTAAACTTAACCAAAAAACAGAAATCTAAAGAGAGGCCAAGCTGCATTGCCAGGCTTCCATGCCTATGCACCCGGCTTTCGAGCTGTTGCTTCATTTGTTAACCCTCAGGCTTTAGGGTTTAGGGTTTTAAGGCTTTTGGGCCTACGGACCATACTATGTAAGGCTTTTGGGCCATTTTGAGCCTTAGGGTAAGGGTTTTGGGTCTTTGGCTTTGGGTTTAGGGCTTAGGGGGTTCAGGGTTTAGGGTTTAGGGCTTAGGAGTTTCAGGGTGTAGGGTTTTAGGGCTCTAGGGGTTTAGGGCTCTAGGGTTTAGGGTTTAGGGTTTGGGGCTCTAGGGTTTAGGGTTTAGGGCTCCAGGGTTTAGGGTTTAGGGCTCAGGGCTTTTAGGGTTAAGGGTTCCATTTAAGGGTTTCCAGTAGGCATTCGGGGTTCCTTCGGTGATTCCTTTAAGGGTTCCTTTGAGCGTTCTTTCAAAGTTCTTTTATCTGCGGATTCCTTGAAGGTTTCCTAAGGGCTCCTTCAAAGGGGTTCTGGTTTGGGGAGGGTTTAGGGTTTAGGGTTTAGGGTTTAGGGGTTAATGTAGGGCCTTTATAATTACCAAGACTATTCCTTGGGGCTCCTCATGACCACTCTCTAACCGTGTAATTACCCCAAGACCCTATTCTGATTACACTTTTGGGGCCCCTACGTTCAGGGGGCTTTGGGCTTTGGATTCAAGCTTAAGGGCTGAGGGTTTACCACAAGCAACGGAACCTCACCTGCAAGCACCAAAAACAGGATCAGGGTGGAAGTGGAAGGTTTAGAGTTTAGGACGAAAGCTAAGCTGGCCTTTTCAGCCTTTGAAAAACACTAGTAGTGAAGATCCTCTAGGCCCAATCAAAGAAGATATAACATCTTCCCTTAGCCTACCTAAAGGCTTTGTTTCCGTTTGATGGACTTTCTCCATGCACAAAGGCCGGCTAACCCTGCAAAACCCTAGAAGACACCCTAGGCCCCAGACAAACCCAGTATGTACCGAAGGTTCAGGATTTAGGTTATCAAATTCTTATAGAAACAATATACAAGCCCGGGTATGCACACAACACCAAACAGTCAACAGTCAAAAGCCCAAGATAAACCCTAATCCCAAAACAGCCACAAGCAGCGACAGTGAAGACCTCGAAGACTACATCCCAGTGCCATTCGCGGGCGTTTCCGGGCTGAATACCGGTCTTGGGCGAAATTAAGAGTTTAGGGTTTAGGGTTTAGGGGTTCCAGTTTGAAGATCATCACGAAATGCTACTACGAATTACTCAGACTGCTGTTATATTCAGGCCTTTAGGTTTCAGTGCTTAGACTTGCGGTGTTGTAAAACCCAAAACCTTAAACCCTGAGTCCTTGGGCTCGGACACTTCAAAATGCATTTTGGTTTAGGATGGTTGAAGATTTCGGGTTTGAGGGGTTAGGGTTATGCGTCAGCCGAGGTGCACCTGCGTGAAGCTGAAGATGAAAGCCGCTGCATAACCTTGCATCGCTGTAGGGTTGCGGATTTTGGTGTTTAGGATTTCCGGCATCAGAATAAGTACGAATACTATTCACCTCTAGTCCCTGTATGGCGGTAGTAGGATACACGGGTATCTCAGATGTGGCCATACACCCTGCTACGGAATGGTCCGGAAAAAGTCTCTCGCTCATGAACCTTGAACATGTACTAAATTATGAGGATGGTCTTGGAATTAATGTCTAGGGATTCAGGCTTTAGGGCTTAGGGGCTTACTGGAACTGCACTTTGGGGCACATTACAATGTAAGTATCATAAGGCGGCCTGAGGAACAGTATCCTAATGATTCAAGCTTCTGCGTTACACACAGAAAAAGATAATCGTTGAAGATCCCAGCAACACAGCGACATCCGCACGGACCAGTCGGAGGGAAACACGACTCCCAGGAGGATTTGGCTGCCCAGGGTCATTCCAAATCGCCCCAGGTACTCTTCATGGTCCCTCGGTCGAAGAGTTTAAGATTTGGGGCTCCTTGGCGGAGGGTTTGTTTTTTTCCTACGTCTGGCGCGCCCCGGTTTGCTTTCCTAAGTCTGGCGCACTCGTTTGAGCTTGGGCTGCAAACACAGCAAGCTGATTTCTAGGGTCTTTGTTTGCTTGTGTTTTGCATCAAGCTATTGGGGAATTACCATTTGCAGGGTCTTGTTGTGCTTCTGTTTCGCATCAGGCTATTGGGGAATTACCATTTGCA